TTCCCATTGTGAATCCAACGACTCTTTGTTTCATCAAGATATGAACCAAACAGACGAGTTTGTCCTTTAACGCTGATATGTTACTGCAACCTACTTATTATGAAAAGCGCGCTATGCATCCAAAACATTCCGTACCTACAATTGTTTTAAAGATATAAAAAGCAAAACGTTGAGTAAAAAGGCATGCAGCTATAGCGTTACCCTTGTTCTTGTTTCTCTGGCTTCTCGGATTTAACGTCGGTCGACATTTTGCCTTCAGATGTTCGCTGTCCTCCTCCTTTATCAGATTAAACTGCTCTAAACCACTCAGACTAGGTCTAGATACAGACAAACACGAGTTTAAGGTCGTAAAAACAATGAGGGTCGCTGCTCAGTCGTGTTGTTTTTGTTCCGTTGTCGCCACAACAGCAAAAAATGTTCAATCTGGAGTCCTTCGCCTGGTGAAATGGCGGCGACACAGAAAAGGCGAAGCTGATATTGGACGCGAAGAGAGGCATGATGGGAAACAGCGTGTGACGCATTCTAGTTTAAAACTATCAGGTGACCAGTTCACATAAAATATCTTAGATTCTTAGAGTTGTTTTTAAAAATGTATCATATTATGACATTGATAGTTAGATTTTTAATACAGGCCTAAAATATTTCACCCTTTTTGTTTTCTGAAGGTCTATGAAAATCCAAAAAAATACGAAAATTACGTTAGTTTGACATTCTAAACAAAGAGCCTAGTAATTAAAACATTTGTTTAAAAAAAAGATGCGACTGTCCCCTCATTTCCACCACACTGAACAATTTTACTCCTAATAATGTATTTTCATTCTAATATTTGTGTATCAAAGAGACGGTGTCAGTTAAAAGTCTGAGGTGAAATGCGTGAGGAAAACAAAGAAAAATCAAGGTAAATATCACTTATTTTTCCATTCAAGCTGTAATTTTCTCACATTACACGAAACGTGTGGAAAATGATTCCTTATGTATTTTGTATAGCCTACATGTAGGCCTAATTATGGCCTATGCCAATTATGAAATTAAAAAGGGCATGAAAAGGGTTGCCACGTTTTTCTAAAAATGTTAGAAAACCACATGCTGCTACTAAACAGCATATAAATCAATATATAGTGGAAATTACACTTTGGTGGGAAATTTCATGACACAAAAACTTTTGGACAGAGTTGTTTTAACTATTTGAATTGCAATTCAGCTCATTTTATTTAAAATCATCCTTTTTTCAAATTCTAATTCAACATCCTGTGGGGCTTTTTAATTTCATGTGAACATAATATTAAATGCTATGAAAGGCTACATGATGGAATAAAAAACCATTATAAAGGTAATTGTAACTTATCTTACAATTCAGACTGTTTCTCATAATTCTGAAAGAGAAAAAAAACTCAGAATTCTGACCTTTTTTTTTTTTACATCCCACAATTTTCTGACTTCTCAGAATTGCGGGTTTAGATCTCAGTCAGAATTGTTTACATTTATTTATTTTTCTTTATTCTGTGCTGAAAATAGGCTTCCATAAAATGCAGAGCATAAAATGGTTTGTAGCCCAAAAGAGTGATTTTAAGCCATTTCTGAAATTGTGCAACCCCTCAGAAATCTCTCGAAAGAACAACAGCACAGTTACCAGGTCCAGAGCATCGTTTTTAATTTGCTTTGCACACTTTTCTTGGCTGATTTCAAGCACCAACATATTTTGGTGAGGACATTACAGACATCTTTCTCTTAGCCACTGCACAACATAAACATTGTAGTATTTCAAAAGTTCAGAGTGATAAAAATCCTGTGCTCGATGAACAACTGAAAACAAAAAAACAGAAGCCAAATGATACATACAGTATGAATACATTAAAAACACACACTGGCAAAATTAGAGCTATTTCAACTGAATCAACAAACTATGCGAACATGTGTACAATTAAGTTCAGATTTGGAAATGCCTCCTTTTTGAAACTGCAACAAAAGATAACCCCCCCCTCAGAAATTTACAACAGAAATATTTCCATGATAAATTAGTGAAAGTGCCATTGTATTTAAAAAGCATGCGCTGAAGGAACAGATAAGTTCAGTTTTATTAACATCATCATTTGAGCTGCTGAACTGCTCTTGCAGTGTTGCATATTGTGGCCAGCTCATTGGCATCCACTGCATGTTAAAAACACAAAATAAACAATAAAACTATGAGTTCAACATTGTCCCTCTCCTTATGTCCTTCATATGCAACAACATCTACATCTATGTATATATCATACATGTATTGTTAAGGTTATAGGTAAGAATTGCATTGTAATATTTTAGAAATTGCACTCTCTATGTATTACCCAACATTGCAAAATAACCAAGGAATGGCCCAAAAAGTGAAGAAAGCAGGTGGAAGCACAACAACGAGACAGTATTCCTCAAGTTAGCATTAAAAGTTGCCTATCGTTGGTGATTCAACACCACTAGTGGTTTGAGATGATGGTTCAAATCAGCACAAAAGAGCAACTTCTTTCCAGAAAAACACTGAGTAATGGGAAAGATGATGATTTTGATGATGGATTATTCCTAAAATAATCCATTGGGGGGGCCTTTTGCATGTTTGAATATCCAACTACAGAAGCACCTTTTGGTTTCAAACTCGCTCGTTTGAGGCACTGAACATCGTCAGTGCCGCTCCGACCGCGTGAACTACAAGCGTCTAAGCGCAAGCCAATCAGCTTGTATTGTTAAGGTTATAGGTAAGAATTGCATTGTAATATTTTAGAAATTGCACTCTCTATGTATTACCCAACATTGCAAAATAACCAAGGAATGGCCCAAAAAGTGAAGAAAGCAGGTGGAAGCACAACAACGAGACAGTATTCCTCAAGTTAGCATTAAAAGTTGCCTATCGTTGGTGATTCAACACCACTAGTGGTTTGAGATGATGGTTCAAATCAGCACAAAAGAGCAACTTCTTTCCAGAAAAACACTGAGTAATGGGAAAGATGATGATTTTGATGATGGATTATTCCTAAAATAATCCATTGGGGGGGCCTTTTGCATGTTTGAATATCCAACTACAGAAGCACCTTTTGGTTTCAAACTCGCTCGTTTGAGGCACTGAACATCGTCAGTGCCGCTCCGACCGCGTGAACTACAAGCGTCTAAGCGCAAGCCAATCAGCTGCGTCCTTTCAAAAAAGTGGTCATCAAATAATCGAGACATTCATGGGCCTGTCTGCTCCACACACACATACTGAACCCTGCACCTACAGCACACAACACTTCTTAATAACAGAGACATCAGTTTATCTACACATTTACAATTGAGACGCATCAGAATTTACAATAAAATAATTAGTGGACCTACATATCTTAGGTAGCTCATTTTATTAGCCTTAAAAGAACAGTTCAGCCACAAATAAAATTCTGTCATTATTTATTCACCTTCATGTTATTCCAAATTCACATGCTGTTTTTTTTGTTGTCGTTGTTGTTGTTTTGTTTTCCTCCAATATATGCTTTTTTCCATTACGGGATAAAAAAATAAATAAATAAAGGTAATTGCAACTTTTTATCTTACAATTCTTTAAGATAAAAAACCTAACCCTAATCTCACAATTTTGACTTTTCTCAGAATTCTTAGTTTACAATTTACAATTTTAATTTTCTTTCCTCAGAATTCTGAGTTTAGAATCTTGCAATTCAGTTTTTTTTCTGCCACAGAATATAAAAAAAAGGTGACTGCAACTTTCTCACAATTCTGGCTTTTTTTCCACCTAATTGTGAGTTAACACTTCACAACTTTTCTGAATTTCTCAGAATTGTGAGGTAGTTCTGTATGATTCACAAAATGAACAAGGTGCATCGAGAAAAAAAATATATATATTTTTTGAACAATACCAGCAGCATTTGTGAAGTGGAGAAGTGAAAGTGAACTGAAAAATAGTAATACTGTTTATTGAATACTTGCTGGTATTGTTAAAAAAAAATAGAATTGTGAGATACACTTAACTATCGGATGGACTTGTAAAAGAGCACAAAAGAACCGCTTTCATTGCGATCTTGAAGCTTGACAGAGAAGATCACTACAAACTGTCGTTGTACACCTTCCAGAAATGATTCACCAAAATTGTTCTATGATTAAAATAACAGCAGTCAAGTTTGGACTGGAGTGACATTACGGTGAATAAATAACGACATTTTCATTGTCAGGTGAACAATTCCCTAAGTGAACTTTACCGCCAAAAGTTTGTGCAAATCGCACACTTTCAGACCTAGATCTTCCACAGCAAGTGCATAAGGCGCAAAAAGTCCACATAAAGAGTGGCAAATGTGCAATTATTACGATTCTGCATATCCCAAAGAACCATTCCCACACTTTCAGATGGTACGTAACAGTAGGGAATGAAAAGATCTGATGAATGGTGTTCTGCAGATTCTTCTTGCACCAATACGACACACATCTAAAAGACGCCTTTGCTTAAATACTGTAGAGTCATTCATGGATGACGGTTTCATTACTGGTCTGGCAATGATGTTTAGCTTAACGATTACTTCTTCCTCTGCGGCTTGACCTGCATCTTCCACAAAGTAAACTGCTACAAAATCCCAAGTATGCCTTCCTCAACCTCGGCTATTTGATACCTTCTAAACAGCACAAATAGGCAGAGCTTACAAAATGCATACAGTAAACACACATACACATTTGTCTTTAAACACCAAAAAAACGAAGGAAAAAAAAAAGATTTTGAAAATGATTCTGAACTGTAGAGGTCTGTTTGCATCTGCACTTACCACAACTCAACAACAAAGTTGCCACATATTTGCATCCCAAAAGCGTATACGTATCTACATTTGTTCAGCTCACATCTAGGCTACGTTGTCAGAAAATGCTACGACTTTAGAATCACCGCATGTTGTTTTACATTGTTCGGAGACCATTCGGTTTGGAAAAACAGCCCACAGCAGAATCATGACAATGGCGGCGTGTTATTGCACTCTCTTTTTTTTTTTTTTTTCCCGCCACACGCCTTCCTTTCTCGCTCCGGATGAGCTTGAGCGTCCTCTACGCCGCAGCAGATATACATCAGCCTCCACATTCATTGCCCAGGCATATGGCCCTGTAATACCCATATCGATCGAAGCTTAGAGCTTACTTGTTAACTTAGTGTGTATATATTTATATCTTGACTAAATTGTATAGGAGCCACAAGAACTAAGTTCGCTTAGGTGCGACTCCGTCGGGTTCAGATGGAAAGTACTTGAAGGTAGACGAGTAAAAAAACGATATATCGAAAACGAAAGAAAGATTTGGTTTTAAGCTTCAGCAGCCGTATGTACTTGAGTCATAATCCCTCGCCACTGTGCTCAAAGGAATCGTCTATACACATAAGTTAGTTTTCTGATTGTTTCAAATACAATGCATACTGAACAGTATGGGGCCTCAGCCTGGCTGTTCAAGCCCCAGATAAATAAAAGGTGTCTTTAAACAACACACTTATAAAGGCTCCAAAAAAAACATTAAAAGAGACTGGTGAAAAAAATTAAAATAAAATAAATGAAGTGCTCACATATTTAGATAAAAAAGGATTAAATAGAAAATAATGCATCCATAATGCCACGGCTCTAGTTGACGACGCTGCGTCAAGAACATGTAGCACGCTAATACCACCGCGATCGGGCCCCGTTCCCCCGCACCACGTCTCTCATACTATGGTCTCGTCTGCTGTCTTTTTCAGCAGCTTTGTGGAAAGCAAGGAATGCTGGGTAGAGTGTGCACCCTTGGTGTCAGGAATGAGCAAGCGGACTTTCTGATTGGTTCGTCTCCACTCTGAATACAACTGACAGTGGTAGCGGAATGAGACCTGCAAAACAAGGACACTTTTTCACACTTTTGGTTAAAGGACCGGGTCCTAAAGATTAAAACGATGAATTTCATGAAAAATATGTCTGGGTGACATTTCACGCCAAAATGAGAAGAAAAAGTATGGAAGTATGATTAAAAAAATTACAGGAACATTCTCTCCACTCTCCAACTGTCATTACCGGAATATAATGAGAAACATCCTGTGAGGACACAAAGATTTTTTTTTTTGCATTAAAATCAGCATAAATTAAAGGTGTTACAATAAATATTACAGCATAAAATAGTAAAAAGTTTAAATTGTTTATGAATTACAGCAATGAGAAAGTTTTTTCTGCATTATGGTAATAAGAATGAGTTTTTTTGCATTGTGGTAATGAATATGGGATTTTTTTGCATTATGATAATGAAAATTTTATTTCTTTGAACTACAATGATGATTTTTTTTTTCATATTAATGAGAATTTATTTGCATTGCATTAATAAAAAACAGATTTTTTTGCATTGCAGTAATGAGAAAGATTCTTATGCATTACGGTGATGAGAACAGGATCTTTTTACCACTGCAGAAAGGAGAAACATTTACACTGTAAAGTAGTGGTTACCGTGTTAGAAGCAAAAAAAATGTAAAAAGCATTATGGTAATGAGAATAAGATATGTTTTTGCATTATGGAGAAGAGAACAAGATATTTTTCATTGCACAATAAAAACGATTTCTTTGTATTATGGTAATGAGGACAAGTTTTTTTGCATTTTGGTAAAGACAACAAGATACTTTTGGCATTGCAGTACAACAAGATTTCTCTTTGCGTTCTTTGCATTTTAAAACATATTTTACACAATTAACAGAAAGCATTATTTATTTTACTTCCTTTCTATTTTTGGGGTGAAATATGACCCAGACATGTTCAGATAAGTCTTTGTGTGATTCCCCCAAAATTAATGTCAACATTCTGCTTTAGAATAAAAATGTCAATGTAATCTGCATTTAATTGGATGTAATACACTACCAATGTCCAGAGGACGTAGATGGTGAAGAGTGCGATGGTCAGAGCGATGAGGCCGACTGCCTCCAGGCGACTGTTGAAGTGCAGGTGGTCCTGTGCTCCCCGTAGACACAGCCAGCCTGAGATGGCTGCAAGGGGCGTTATAAACAGGAAGCACACCATGTCACAGAAGAGGGTGCGCTTCTCATTCCGGGGGCCCGGGTCCCTGAGCCACTATTGAAAGATGATGTGAGGTTTACTGATGATGTATAGATAGACAATTTGCCCAATACCAATAATTATATGTTATGACCAATAACCAATATCATGGTCGACATTCTTTGTAAAGACCAGTTTGAAAAATATTTTACCACTTTTTAACTTAATTCGTTATCAATATTGGGTCCACAAGTGCTATTCAAAGGTAAAGTAACTTATTTAAATGTATTGTTTGGACAATTTTTAAACTGAGAAATGTGTACCCAACCAATTACACATGACAAAACTGAGATGAAAATAGATCAATTCAAAAGAACAGAAATATACAGCATAAATAATGTCAGCAGTAATGATAGCACCGCCCTGCATCATATTTGCTGAATATGAAATCCAATATTTGTTTCTTTTGATTATGATATGAAATACGAATGCATTTGCATTTCATAGCATTTTTGCTTTCAACAACCATTTGTTAGGTGAAGAAGTCTTGTATTATACCGTAATCATCAAAAAACTGCCTTAAAAGACATGATTTCTACCTTCCTGTGCCAGGTTACAGCTATATGTTAAATTCTTAGCCGATTTTTTGTATTAATGATTCTGAAGACATTATGTGATGGAGAGACCTTAAAGTTGTCTTCCATCACTGTTTTTACTGTGTTCTTATTCTTTTTGGTTCATTTGTTATAATATTTACGGGGGTTTGCTCGTATGTATTACCTGATCTAACTGGGTGGGCGCGGCAAGAAGAGGTGCAAACTTGAGAAGCACTCATGTTAGCTAATTTATGGAAATATTTGTGCAAATATGTTTGACTTATCTGTCCTCTTTTTAATGGTATTAATTGTATTTATCTACTTAACTCTTGTTCCCAATTGTCATGTATAAATCATATTGTGAGACAAGAGTTTATTTTATAAAACATAGTATGGTTCAACTTGTAAGAGTGGGAAAAATGTGTATTTAAGATGGTAGAAGGAGAGAGAATAGGAACCGTTCTTTTGCATCTTCTGGAGCACAAAATTATTGTCTTGATGAGTATCCACGTAAACAGTCGGTTACGTCTTAATTTGTATTTTGTATCTAATGTCTCCGAGATAATATGAATAGTCGAGGAGTTTGAGAGTTATAAGTGAAGTGGGAAAAAAGTATGGGGGTGAGTTTCATATAGTGCTGAGTGGCTTCTGCATTTCTTTCTTTGCTATGCATTATAGTTGTATGAGTCTTAAAGACACAGTTTAGCCAAAAATGGAAATCCTGTCATCACATATTTCACCTCATCACCTCACCTCAACATCATCTTTTGTGTTCTGCAGAAGAAAGAAAGCCACACAGGTTTGAAACAACATGAGGGTGAATAAATATCGACAGAGTTTGTTTTCATGTGTAACATATGTATGCAATTATAACAATAATTTTTAAAAAGTATGTAAATAAATTACTATTGTGCATAACTTCAAAACAAATTTGTATTAAATTATCTAAATTATCTTTATTTATCTCTAATAAAGTGTTAACAAAAATATTATTATTTAATTATATGTATTTAGTATAAATAAATCCTGGCATAAATTAACTTTAGCCTCTTAGGACAAAAAAAAGTTCAAAGTTCCAACATTTTTAACATTCCAAAAATGTTTAAAATGTCACTTCCACCACAAAATGCAGAGAACACATAACTTACAATAAGATGGAAATCTTAAACTAGTAACCCCCCTGAGGGTGAAACCCTAGAACCGCCCCTGCTGAAATCCCTGCAGTAATAAATATTTAATCTATGAATGTGGAGGCAAAACTAAATGTAAGGGTAAGAAGAGGTAGAAATTGAAAAAGCTCTTTAACATAACAATTGCACGTTACCACTTTTTACAGTGGGAGGTAAACGCTTAACATAAAAGTTTTCGCGTTGCGTTCATATTCTGAGTTTGATCTTTTAATATCACTAATGCATAAGCCACGTTAAGCGTAAAAATATCCACTCCGATTACGGTGATGTTGTCTTAGAAGTATAGTGTTTATGGCAAGTGAAATGTGAGAGAAAATTGACTTTGCCTGGTTGTTGTTTTAGAACATTAAGTCACGTTGAGAGTTTTTCACATGCTTTTCCACTCCACTGCACTACCTTTGCGTCTTCTGCAGTGTCTCGAGCATGATACGGCTTTCCAGAAACGCAGCGCTCAAGTCAAAAAAAGTTCCACTAAACGTTCTGTTCGATTTGTGAATGCCTTTTAGAATGTATTTATATACAAAAATATTTTTCAAATCATGTAAAACTTGAGAAAATTGTAGTGCTCCAAACAGGAAAAAACAGGTCAATGTCTGCTTGCTTGCTCGTGTCCATCTGCTTTTAATTCACATGCACTTTGCACTTTTTGCACAATGCAATTCTTAAAGGGGTCCTATTATGCTCTTTTACAAAGTATTGATTATGTTTTGGGGGTGTACTAGAACATGCTCTCATGCTTGGTGGTTCGAAAAACGCATTATTTTTCACATAATTTACATTATTAAAATACTTTTCTCCCCAGCCTGGCACAAACGGCTCGATTAGTTCCGGCTTTGATGAAGGTCCGCCTTCCGAAAAACAAAATGTGTTGTGATTGGTTAGCTGTCCCAGTGCGTTGTGATTGGCGAACAGCTTAGACGGTGTTTCAGTACTGCCACGCCCCTTGCTCCGTCTTTCAACAAAAGCTTTTGGCGAATCCGGCA